CGTTAATCACTGCATGAACTACATTAGGCATGTCACCTGTTCAGATGTCTTGATCAGTGGCTGTTCCATCAATGAAACGTATAAAGACGTTAGCATCATTAATACAATAATTAATCGGTTTAATCCTACTTTAAATTATGATTTAAACAGATATAAATATAAACAATAAAATGTCTTTGTTTGTTATTACTGGAATTAACGGTCGCAGCTATTGCAGAAAAAAATTACATAACTTACGTGGGTTATGTATTTTTTCTGTTAATTCCAGTAATAAATAACAAAGGAAGCATTTGATTGTTTAAATTAAAATTTTTAAAAATTTGTGACGCACATATGTGTGAAGGGTGTGATATTGAGAAAATATAACTCAAATGTAGGAAAATCTTACTAACAAAAAAGATATGTTAATGATTTAAAACTGCTTTTTGTTTAAAATAAAAAAACTACACCATGATCAGCGACAGTAACGTAAATATCGATTTCTGCTATAAAATGCGATTTTCTCCTAAGACAATCATTCAAGTTAAAACAAACAATTGTTGTATTTTAATCAGCAACCAAGAATGGTTCATATGACTGGCAGAAAATAAAATTTATTTGAAATATTATATTACTTAAAACACGGTACATTATTTAAAGCGAATGAACGTTGTTTTCTATACAAATAAATTTAAATTTTTCCCAAAATTCCAATAGATTTGCCAAAGTAAATTTACATTTTCAAGTTAGACTTTTGGCCATACCTTGTATATAGAGATGCACAGTTTGTATGCGCAGCTCCTCTTAAACCGCTGCACAGAATTTCATCAAACTTTGCAGATATTTAGGACATACTGTGCAGATTTGCATATCACCAGGAAATTCCGATTCCTTTATTTTTCTTGGAATTTACGCACTTTTTAACTTAGATTTTTGGACATACCTTGAATACACATGTATAGAGATGAACAGTTTTTCAGCGCAACTCCTTCTTAACCGCTGCACAGAATTTCGTCAAACTTTGCCGATATTAAAAACACAGTGTGTAGATGTGCATATAACCGGGTTATTCCAATTCCCTTATTTTTTTCCGGGAATTTCCACATTTTTCTAGTTCTATATTCACAAGATAGAATTTGTGATAAATAGAGTTAAACAAGATGTGTTTCTGAAACACTGATGCCCCCTATGGAAACATAGTGAAGATTAAACTTTTCTTAAATGCAAATTTAATATATTGGTACCTAAAGTAGGGTCTCTCCTAACTTGAAATACAATTGTGAAACATGAAAGCCCTTTAACCATCTGTTCCCAATTATGACCAGGCAAAAGTTTTTTTTCATAAGTACAGAAATCTTCAAGATCACGGTCAGAAAGTCAATATTATTGGTATCCAATGAAAGGTATTTCCACAAAATACACATGTGTGAAGTATGGAAGCCCTAGCCTTAACCATTCAAAAGTTATGGCCAATGTTAAAAGATTTTGAAAGTAGATTAAACTCCAAGATCAAGATCAGAAGGTCAAGGTAATTGGTATTGAATAAAAGGCCTTTTTACAAGAGTTACATGTGTGAAGTATGAAAGCCCTAGCCCTTATACTTGAAAAGTTATATCCAAGGTTAATATTTTTTCACAAGTCCGAAAATCTGTAAGGTCAAGGTCAAAAGGTCAAGGTTATTGCATCCAATTAAAGGACCTGCCACAAAGAATACATTTGTGAAGTATGGAAGCCCTAGCCCTAACCGTTAAAAAATTATTGCCAAGATTAATGTTTTTCATAAGTCTAAAAATATCCAAGATTAAAGTTAGAAGGACAAGTTTATTGGCATCCAATAAAAGATCTTTCCACAAAGAATACATATGTGAAGTATGAAAGCTCTAGCCCTAACCGTTCAAAAATTATGGCCAAGATTTAAAGAATTTAAAAGTAGTCTAAACTCTAAAGTCAAAGGTCTTGATATTAAATGAAAGGTCTTGTCACAAGAATTAATTATGTAAAGTATGAAAACATTAGCTCTAACCCTTTAAAAGATATGGCCAAAGTTTGCTTTTTAAAAGTAGGTCAAACTCCAAGGTCAAGATCAAAGGTTCAAAGCCTTTAGTATCCAATGAAGCGTCTTCTTACAAGGATTACATATGTAAAGTATGAGAGCATTATCCCTTACCGTTCAAAAGTTATTGCTAAGATTAAAGTTTTTTCAGTTCTACGTAAATCTCCAAGGTCAAGGATAAAAGGTCAAGGTTGGTGGTATGCCATTACAGGTCTTGCCACAAAAAATGTATCTGTGAAGTATAAAAGTCCTAGTATCTACCGTTCAAAAGTTATGCCCAAAGTAAAAATTAAAAGTTTTTGTGTTGAAGTGGGTCAAACTCCAAGGTCAAGGTCAAAAGGTCAAATTTGGTTGTGTCCAAAGAAAAGTCTTGTCACAAGGAATACACATATGAAATAAGAAAGTCATAGCTCCACTAAATCAAAAGTTATTGACAAGGTATTAGTTTTTGCGGACAAACAGACAGAGAGACAAACGGACACGACAAAAACTACATGTATATACCCCCCCCCCGAAACTTCGTTTACGGGGGTATAAAAAAAAACATCCATGCAATTGTGATTTGTACGTTAAATTTATTATGTGTATATTTTAATTTCTAAAATGAGATTTCGATCTTGTTGACTATCAAAATTTGGATGAGACAACCTCAGAAAAGAACAGACTAAATAAACCCAAAAGTCATATTTCAATGCAAATGGCTTAAAAACAATATATAGAACTTTAATTTCAAAATTTAATTGACAGAATATATAATTAAGATATCCGACCCATATAAGAACGGATGCTTAAAAACCTAAATATTCCTTACGTGTAAAATTCTCTGATATTAATTCAAAGCATTTTGAGTAGAAAACTATTTACCAGGAGATGATCAAAAAGCAGTAGCTAATCAATGAAAAAAGCATGTATTTATGGAGATTAGCAGATGTTTTAACTATTAATAAAAAAACAAACAAACATGAATATATACATTTGTGGTATCTCTCTGTTATATAAACATACGGAGAACAAATATCTTCAATTTTGTATGAAGTTTGTCTGAGGTCAGAGGTCAATACGTGACCTAATCAAATGGCGCAATAATATCTACCGGTGCATAAATATATAAAATGACTTGTCTACTTGTATTTCATGTATAAAAATAAACAAAATATGCAAGTAAAATAATAATTATTTTATTTGCAACGTTAACAAATATTTTATATAATTTTTAGCTAACGATTTAATCTATGTATACATGGAGAATATACCGATAGAAACTAGCCTTTGTTTACGAGCTTTATGTTACTTTTTTCAGCTGTTCAGTCTCTAACGTTTATCCTTATTTTTTGGTAAACTTTTGGTTAAATCTTCATGATAAACTATAATTTTTTCATCAAATTCTACTCATGATAAATCTATTGATGTGTATATCTATTGGAAAATATCAAAGCATTGCAATCACGCCACGAACAGCTGACAAACACCTTGGCGCTGTCGTAGTTCAATGTAAGTTTTCGCTAGTGTCCCCGTGTTTTGTTTACATCATGAATATGCCTTTAGTTATTGATATCGTAGGTTAATTGTTTTTTATCTTAGATACTTGACTGCAAATTAACTGGCACTGTCAAGTGTTTCCATCCATCGGATCATCCATCATTTTCTAGCGACCGAAATTCCTCCAATTTTTTATCATCGATTTTTGGACGTGTTTCTTGTGTCTTTCTAGCATCAATTATCAATTTTCACGAATAGAAATATTCCCAGACAACAGTTTGTTCACTATTACTGATCACAGGTAGCCTTTAACAAAATATTCCCTAAGAAATAAAATCCTTAGCCTGCTGAATTCGAAGCGTACATGTAACCGTCATTCAAGCCGATTTACACCTTGCGTCATTTTTAAAAATCTACGACGGACGGTTAGTGCAATAATTTATATTCGAAAGTATTCAATCGCCTGCCTCAAATGTATATATAAATAATAAATAACAAGTTTATAAACTTTAATGGGAATTGAAGTGGGTCGGTACGTGATCAAATCTTCTGAGAAGGCCTTCGGCCTTCACAGGATTTGATCACGTGACTGACCCACTTCAATTCCCATTGAAGTTTATAAACGTTATTTATTTCTTAAATGAATGCAATCATGGTGAAGAGATCTAATCACTCAATAGTAGTAGTAAATAAAAATAAAGCAAACAAAATCGATTTTTTCACATTGATGGAAACCTTTTCAAGGACAGCTCAATGTCGTAAATTCGGAATGTTGTACTCTTACATTTTGATAATAAAAAATGACATATATATATCAAAAATATGCAAAGCATTCAGCCCATATATATTTATATGTATTTGAATTTCATTGAATCTGGATCTTCACTGTAGTTCAGTCGTTAGTGCACTCAGCCTGTGTTCGAAAGGTTGTGAATTCGAATCTAAATCACAACTGACGTAAATCGATTAAAAACAAATAGATAGCAACTTTTTCGTCGTCATGTGCTTGCACTTTAAAATGAATGTTGTGGGTCCTTCTGATGATATCTTAGAAACCAAGACCCCATGTCACGGCAATCGTTGGCAAGGTAAAGACCTATCTGTTCAATGGCTCTAAGTGCCGAGTCAAACATTTGAAGCCCTTCATTGGTATATGGTGACTACATGCATGAGTGAAACAACATATAATCATTGGATACCAGTTAATCATTTATTGAATCTGAGGCAATAATTATGGGTCGGGTACAAGTCTATTTACTGTAAACTCATATTTCCGTTGGGTCAAATTTTCGCAGTTTGGGGAAAAGCTATTGGTTGGTGGAGATTTGATTTCGTGGATAAAGAATTGTTAAGTAATTATGTATGTAACATTTTTCATTTCGTGTTGAACATGAATTTATGGGTCTCTTAATACCTCGAATACAGCGAAATTTAAACCCTACGGAATTTTTTTATCTCACAATAATTGGACAACCGTTATATATTTTTTTTCAAATCGTTAAACATGCATCAATGTCTCTATGAATTACAAGTAAACATATCAAGAAACATCATAAATCACTTAATTAAAACAAATTTGATGTCATTTAATTATTTCTTTTTTTCAATACTTGACATCCTGTTCTTTAGATCTGAAACGTCCTCCTTCACTTCAGCCAACTGTTTTGAAAGGGTGGATATGTCATTTTTATGTTCGTCTTTTGCGTCGTTCACAGTACTTGCTAACGATGATAGATTACTGGATATGTCATTCTTTACGGATGCAAAGTTGTTGTTTATTGTTGTTTTCATCGACTCTGTCAATCTTTTTTCTAAGTCCTCAAACATGAACACCATTATTTTTTCTAAATTTTTATCCTTTTTATATTGATACTTAAATGGTGTAAGTTGAGCGGTAGTTAGGTTCAAACTTGAAAGAACATCTATAATAGGGGTCATAAAACACGTTCCATGCTTGGTACAAGCCACGGCCATTCCGATGCATTTCAGTGTAGGCGGGTTTCCATCTTCTAAAATAAAAATAAACGAACCAGAATCCCCTTCTCTCATGAAATATTCAAATCCAGTTGTTTTGCGAATTTCTATTTGTCCGCTTAGCCTAACTTTTCTGTCGCATATCAAAACCTCTTTTTGGTCTATTGAGGCTTCAGGATGCATATAATGAATTTCTCCGAGTGTTATTCCGGAAGCAGCACCGACTTTTACCACCTTGCTTCTTGTGATTTCGGAAACAACCGCTATTTTACCATCACAAAAGAAAAGTGATTCGTGGTCTTCAAAGCCTTTAAAAGATAAACACAGAAATAAAGTATTTTAAAACATTCAATGTACAGAAAGAGTGATTGGTATTTACCAAATAAGATAACATGCATGTAATCATTCGATTGTCATAAGCTTAAGAAAGCACTATGTTAGGAGAAAAAATCATTAAGAAAAAAAGGTTTCATTGATTAAAAAAAACGCTACAAACTCTTATATTTGGACACAGTGAAGAGCATTTAAATGAAGGGAATATAGCAAAATATGTATTTACTAAAGATAATGCAAGTTTAAAGAAGTTTTGTTTTCGTTCAAAATTTACCAACCTGCTTTCTGAAGAGTTTCTTGAGTAAGACGTCTGTCTGAAAAATGTCCCGTTTCTGGAAATTTATCTTTGTCCGTCAATTCCACTAAAGCTGCATCGATACTCATGTCACATGTTTGATGCAAATTAAAGATTCCGTGAAGTGTTTTGCCGATATGCATTTGCCTGCCATTTTCTTTTAGAATGCTTACAGAAGGATTTGTGTGATTTATATAATCTGAAATCGATGATGGATCCCTAATGGTCGGACACACTACATGTGCACATGTTATGAATCCCAGACGATTGTCGTCAATATTAATGAAACCACCTAGCGTTCCAAAGGTGTTTTCACCGGTCGGTTCTATTCTTTCCCCCATTCTTAAACCCTCATGTCCAGCTGCAAACGATACAACACTTTCTCGAACGTCTACAGGAAAACCGCCTATATGTTTTGGAAACATACTTTCGCCCAAAGGAATTATTCCCTTTATCCTGCAGTAAATAACCACTGTATTCAGTTTTGTTGGTGGCCTTCCTTCTCCTAAATCAAATCCTTTAGATTTCACACCAGAAGCTGATATAAGCGTTATATTACTATGTTGTTTCATTAATACTTTTATATCTGTTTTACTTATCTGTACAGATGACAAATTCTCATCTTCATAACGCATCATTTCAGAAGCTTCTTTTGAGAAAGTATCGACGTCTCTAAAATATACATCAATACCAAGATATTTATCCATATTTATTTCTTCTGCATTAAGTCCTTCCGACACAACCACTAGTGTGTCGAAGCTGTTAGATAAATTTTGATTACCCATAAAGTGAGGACATTTGCAACCTGCCCAGATGGAATGTATTATTACATTAGGTTGAATAGATTTTATGTCGAATTCTAACTTCTTGCATATCCCACCTCCAATTATTTTCTGAATCTCTTTGGATGAATAGTCCTTAATTTCAGGAAGCATTGAGGCAAGCCATTTACTGGAAATTTCCAGAGGAAAACGAAATGCAACTTTAATGTACCAAGATAACAATTTTGGATTACTTATAGCCATTTCGATCAAGCGCTCTAGAAACCTGGTAGACGTGTTCGTTTCATATTTTGCAAAATATAATAAATTGTTATAAAGATAAGAAATATCTTTTGCTGTCTCGAAATTTTGTTTTCCTGCTAGTTTTTTAGCGTTATCTTCGGTAGTAGAAATCAGTAACTCTCTGTCCAGTTTCCCTATCTTTGTTTGCGAACTTACTGTCAAATCAAGATATTCATAAGTGTTCAAAGATCTTAGCAGCCTAGACTGGTACTGAGATATGTCATGCAAGACTATTTTTTCAATGGACTTAGAATGTTTCTTTTTGTATTCTCTTATTAATTTCATTTCAATGTCCTGATCCTTACTCATAAATGCAATATCAAGAGCGGTTAAATTATCAAATGTTGTTGAGCGAATATCAAACCCTTCTCCTATTAGAATGTCAATTGCATTGTCAGCTCTAGCTTCACAAGCACAATGTAGTAAGTTATATCCACGAATATCTTTTCGATATTTGAGAGAAGGTAAAGTTTTGAAAAGGTACTTTAAGATTTCAGAATTTCTGTTGTAACAAGCATTGTGAAGAACATTTTTCCTGTCCAATGAAATACAATTAGTATTGAAACCATTGTTTACTAAAAACTTAATTACATTTAAGTCTGTATTCATTGCTCCAAGAAGCACTGGCGATTTTCCGTTGATATCACGTCTTTCCATCTCCGCTGGAAAGCTATCACATATATACTGTATAACATGAACTGAGCTGTTCATACATGCAATGTGAAGAATCCCTTGACCAGTATTTGAAGTTTGTTTGTGGTAACATTCTTGTGAAATAATATATTTGACGACATCAAGAGATTTGCTGCAAACGGAACAAAGCATTGGATCAAGTCCATCATTGTCGATTGCATTGAGAAGATCGGGATATTTTGTACATATAAATCTTACAGTTTCCATGTTTCCTTCCTTGCATGCTCTGTGCAATGCATTTTCTCGATTTGGGTTACAATCACTTGCTTTATAACCTTGTTCTAAAAGAAACATAAGCATATCTTTACTCCCGTAAGCAGCTGCATATTGAATTATGGTATCTCCCTTCAATTGTATATCCCTTAGTTTTGGAAAAGTGTTGAACAAATGTTTGAACGTATCGAAATTCTTACTCATACATGCAGCATGCAAAACACTTTCTCCGTTTCTTGAATACTTTGCATACAGAACTTCAAACTTCGTTAAAACTTTCACTGCATCAAGATGTCCTCTTCTACAAGCCTTGTGTAATGCATTTAATCCATGAATATCTTCTGATTGAACAAGGTCCGGGAAATTATCTATTATATATTCTATCATGTTATAATATCCGTGGTCACAAGCAAGATGAAGAATATTCTCCTCTTTTGTTGTTTTTTCACGTGGGTCCATTCCAAGGCTGTATATCAAAAATTCAATAACATCCGTTTCTTTATTCAATGCTGCATAGTGCAAAATTGACATGCCTAGACGCGTCTTTTTTAACAGTTGCTTGGTGTACTCCTGTTGTAGCCAGTCAACGTCAGATACGTTACCAAACCTTGCAAAAATATGAAGTATTGTTTCATTCACTGCAGATCGTTCATTTGGATCGAACCCATTTTGAACAAGAAGTTCTATTATTTCTTTCGACCCACTCATTGCTGCATAGTGTAGAAGTGAATATCCTTTATCGTCTTTTAAATCCCGTGCCAATGATTTATGATCTTTAATTAAATGGGAGAGTAGAGGCAAATTATTAGCTTTCGTTGCTTTAAACAAAACTGCGTCTAAGATATCCCTTTTAAATACTCCGAGGTCCTCAAAAAGTGTGAACATTTCCACCGATCCTTTCTCAGATGCTATGGAAATAATATATTCATTGTTGGAAGTAAAACACATGATTTTTTTCTTAATATAACTTGCAACTAATCTCATCAGGCTGATGTTGTTCCCTTGAATTATTGCTGCTAGGAAAAACCCTAGGTTTGCATCGGTTAAATTGACAATTGAGTTTTCCAGTTCGTGAGTTTCAACGCATATATTCAGGAATTCTTCATTCGACCATTGGTCTAGATCTGCAATATACCCTAAGATGTCATGTGTTTTGCTAAATTGTATATCAAATGCAATGCGGTTCACAATTGCATGTTTAATTCTGCATAATTGGTCCACGCTGCATGTTCGATCTTTAGCCTTGCTTTCAAGAAATTGAAACATATTGTATGGTGCAAACTGAAACACAGTTTGAGGATAGTTTTCAAGGATGATTGATACAGTGCCCTGAAAGATACTCTCGTGCAAAATATAATAAATCTCTTCTCCTTCTAGAGAACATTTTGCGAGATACACTTCAGAAAGCCAGTCTGCCACTTCCACTGGGTTTAGACAATTTCTAGTAGCACCCCTTGCCATTGTCCTATTAATGAAAGAAATCATTGTATTTAAAAATGAATTTTCCAAACACTGATCTTGGAAGATATTTCTTCTTATCTTTTTTCCATTGATGCAGACAAATGCTAAAATTGTGAAAAACTCTGGCTCAAGATTTGCAAGGGTAGCTGCTGCAATGTCATTTGAATCAACTTTTTTAGTTTTCTGCTTTCCATGATGCACACTCCTAATTTGACAAAACCTCGGAAATCCAAATTGAACAGCTGAATCAAATAAAGCTATTTCATTTGCAATCTGGTCAATGCTGTATAAACTAAGCATTTCTGACTTCTCGTCGTCAGAAAGAGCATATTCAGTTAGATCAATGATATTGTTCTGTGTAATTCCCATGAAATTCTCCAAATCAGATAAAAAACACTGCAAAATTTCTTTCCGAAGCACCAAAATGATTTTATTTGTATGAATATAGCTAGTCTTTAAATTTTGAGAAATTTCCATCAGATGACACCAGAGGTTTTGTGTGAATTCAGCCGTAAATATGTCTTGACCATTAAAATTTTTAACAAGTATGGCAAGACGTTTCTCTTGGAAAACGCATCTTTTCCAGTCTCTGTGGCTTTCCAATATCAATGGTCTCATTTGCTTAATTTGCATTAATTTTTGGAGACATTTATAGGCAATAAACGTTTTTCCATCTCCAGAAACACCTGTGACAATAGCCACATTTTCTTTTTCCAGAACATCCAAAAGACCTTTGTATGCCTTTGTTTCCAGGAACGGTAGAGTTTCCAGTTTTTTCAATATATTTTTTGATGATGCTTAAAAGAATAAAGATCTTTGAAATAACATTTTAGTGTAATTTTTGAGATTGTAGTAATCACTCTCGACAATTCATTGAGTCAGTATCATTGATCCAGTATCAGAAGAGAACACGTTATAATACTAAAACGTAAGTAAAATTGAAATTTACATGATTACACTTTCAAAATAAATATTTAAAATAACACAAAGTAAAAAAAAATGCCTTTAGACATCTTACCAATACGCTGACGAAGTACTTCATTCTGAATTTGGAGACTCTGTTGATCATTATCTGGCCTTTTTGTTTGCTGCTCAGTTGACTTATTAGGTGTTTGAAAAATACTGGTACTTAATTTTGGGTCCGACCTTGAAAAATATGTACATGTAAACAAGTAAATGTGTATGAAGTTGAACTAGATAATCAGGTGATTGAGTATATTCGTCTGTTTAAAATATATTCAGATAGGGCAGGGTTGGTGTAACTTCGACCACCTTATATAAAATAACGACCATTACATATTTGTATATAACCGATTGTCTAATGCATTTATTTTGTCCAGAAAAGTAAATACACTATCATTATATTGTTTCGAAAATTATTTTATTTCCATGAGCGATTTTAAGTACTTGAATGGATAATTACATCAACGAAAAGGCTTTATCACCCGAAAAATTACCGGATCGAAATATTTTGTAGCCAATACAACGAATTATAACCTCATAAAATTTATTGTTAGCTTATGGACATCTCTAGAGATATTTATCTAATATGCTTTAACAACGTTAATTCATATATAACTTTTTTCAACTGAAGTATTTAGATTTTAAAAAAGCTGGCCAGAAATCGTCCGAATGTATCGAGTTTCAATTGATATATATGCCATATAACTACGAACAATTGAAGACGACAAAAAACTATCTCGCTGTTACATGAACCAGAAAGAATTAACAAGTGTCCGTAAAAATTGGAACGAGTATTATGTACAAGGGTCGTCCGGCAAAATCGTGGACAAGTTGTTTAGATCGGAAAATAATGATCACTGCATTCCAAAATTTGTCACCACTATTTTTACTCCGTTTTAAGTCAGTATGCGTAGTAAATTTAAAGCCGCTTAATCCGATTCTAATCGCGAAAAAATGTATTCGTTTTTCTTCTTGAAAAATAATTGTCCATAAATTGTTTCAACTTTTGTCAAATTATATCCTCAAAGTCTTTTTCTTTTAAAAGATATCAAAATTCAAAATTTAAAAAAATAATGTTCGTTAGGTCACACAAAAAAGAATCCTATGTTGATATCGCGTGAATTCATCTTCGAAAAATTAAATTTATCGCTTATATATCATGAAGAATAAATCCGAGCATTTTTTCCACAACAAAGTACTTATACTTGTACACGGACAATATTTTAGCCTTTGTTACTAAACATCCTAAAAATATTAGCATCTATTTGTGTATATAAAATAGATGCCTTTATTTTACGAGAAAAGTATATTTGAAGGGACCTATAAACTAGTTTATAGGTCCCAAGTATTTGTTATTTGAACGTTGGCTTTTAGGGGTCGGGTTCGGTTGACACATCAAGTGTAGTATATAAAAGGTCGGGTTTGATCTTCACATTCCTTTCTCCTGAACCTTTCGAAGGTAAAGACGCATAACAATTGCTTGCAATAAAATACATGAAATTTTGTTTTGTAACTTTAAAATTTGTATGATTTTTCATTTATACATTGTTCTCAACCATTTTAACGCTGTTACTTCTATTGATGTGCATTAATTATGACGGAAGAGATTGGATTCAAACACTTTACAAAGCAGACGACGCGCACGCGGTTATACTAAAAAATCGTTTACTTATACCTTTGTATTGTTTTACAATGATGTAATGTTGGTTATTAACATTAATAACTCTCTTTTTGTTTCATACTGCTTCGAAACCCGGCGAAAGCAAACTAGAATAGGCCCTACGCATGTGAACAACAATAAGGAAACTCGGTCGGAGCTTCTCGGGGACATGGACCCAAATACAAGACTACAAGTCAAAGGAAGGCATTGAAAATTATCTTCAAATCGTTTGGAAAACCAGACATTGAAATAAGTATAATCACTGATTAACAGTCCAGTATATCAGGTACATCAATCACCTTTGTATTGCATTAATTAGTTGAGTGTGTATACATGTATACTTGAATTGTCTTTTCCACTGTGGATTGACACCAAATTATAAGCAATGTCTGATTAGATTCCATCACATTTGGTAAGATTTGATTGCCTTATGTGTTGTAAAACCTTTTCTAAATTAAGGGAAATTCAAAATACTTTAGTCTAAGTCTCCTGAAGGATATGCACATCTAGGAATCAAGATGTGTGCAAGGATCTAGCTGGGAAGGGGGGTCTTGGCAGTATTGGTCGTGGTCCAGTTGACTTGCTTTGCTTCCCCCCAATGTGTGGGTTGACTGCAAGCTGTGCCAACTTGCAGCCATGTGGCGTCTGCGCACACCAAGTCAACTGATAACTGAATGTTTGTGTGAAACTTGTAATAAACTGTCACCTTGTTGAAATACTAATGCTAGTGTAAACTAAGCTAATAAGCTTACTCTTGGTGACAGTAATATATACTTTAGAACTGTACTACATCGTACAGGTTTGAAATATGAAAAATGTTGATATTTGAAGTTTGAGATGTTTGATCTATGAAGTTTGAGATATTAATGATATATGATATACAAGATTTGATAAAATAAGTTGATATGCTTGATATTTGGAATTTGAGATATGACTTATTGATTGATTGAATGAATGATCGATTGATTGATTTGAACAGTTTGTATGTGTGCTGACCCTCCGCGGTTAACCCGGGACGGTTAGAAAAAAGAAACACACATTGTTGATGTTTGAATTTGGTGGGTTCGCCCAATTGAAATGGCGTCCCACAATTTTGTACTGTGCCACGGCCAATACTCGCCACAATAAATAAATATAAATTCTATATTGAGTTTTGTGTCATTTTTCTCTGTATAAATAATTTAAAAATAAATGATTTTCCTTCATTATTTAAATATGCATATTAATATAAAAATATATGGATTATATTCAATTAATTTCTTAATTTTCAAAAGATATATTATGACTTAGGCTTTCTACTAATGAAAAAAAAATACTCGGGCTTGAATTATCTTCATAATTAGATATAATCGATAAATTAATTTTTTTTCCATGGTGACTCCACAACAGATCTTAACTTCCCGTTAGGAACTTCTTTGTGTCAATAAGGTTTTTGATCTATGTTTTCCTTGTAAGGATTGTTGTAATAAACTATTAAATCAATCTGGAAATTTATTTTTATATATTATCTAGTATGTAATGACGTACTTTTATTGTGTAAGATAATATGTGTCTGTTTCGGATCAAGCGGCTTTAAATAGTAATGTTCATTAGTAAACAAATTTTGAGATTTTATGGTAACTGTTGTATATCCTTACGGCGGACGGATGACATGTGTCAAGCAGAGTCATGTTTGCTCTTTGCCTAAATAAGTCGGACAAGTCTCACTTAAATTTAGAAATTTCGGTGGTCATAATCTCGACTTTTCCTTTATTTCTCCTTAAACAGTAGAGAAATTAATCTTGCACTCCAATTCAACGAAATAGGCAATCCTATATCGACGGTCAACAGTGACAGCGTCTTTCGCTATTACCCTAGCTGTTTGTCCGTATGTTTTGTTCCAATCAGGTACCGATACACTATCAAAAACGATTTTGCTAAGAACTTCCATTTCAACTGTGTATAAAAAATCTAGTGAAAATTTTTATCTTATTTTCTTCTATATTCATTTAAAGTTGTTTAGGGCATAATAACTACATCTAAATTAAACTACAATCAAATACTTTTAATGAATACAGAAGGAAAACATTTTTAAAAATATCATTAGGTCTTTAACATACAACTGAACTGGAAGTTTATTTTCGCGAAATCTTTTTTGATCTAGTCTAAATCTCCGGGTAAAACAAAACATACGGACAAACACCTATGGTAATAGCGAAAGACGGTGTCACTGTAGATCGTCGACAAATAATTGTCTGATAGTGAGAATATTGTCCATAACTTACGTATAAATCTTCAAAAGGTCCCCGATGTGTATGAGATTGGTTCCTCAACTGTTTATTTAGAAATATAGGAAAACCCAAGTAAATAAATCGATGAAGTTCCTAATTTAATGGAACTTACCCATTTTTTTTTTTTTTTTTTTTTTTTTTTTTTTTTTTTTGCAAAGAGCAAATGTGATGCTGCTTTAGACACTTTGACGTTATCATCTGTGCGCTTAAGGCGATACAACTCATGGCAGAAAGTCTCATTAATTGTTTATTGTTTATATATGCATATAAATATTTATTGATGAAAAATGTACTGAAGAGTAGTGAAAATTTTTAATCTAGACAACTTCTCCACGATTTCTCTACTGAAGAGTAGTGAAATTTTTAATCTAGACAACTTCTCCACGATTTTACCGGTCAATCCTAGGATACAGAAAAATAATTGAATGTTATTTGAAAAAAAAAATTTCCAAGGGAAAAACAGAAAAAAAACTGTATGACTACAAAGTTAACATTAAGATACTTGCACAAAACTTGGGAGGGGGGGGGGTATTTTTCAAAATTACACCATCTTGCCCTTATCTAAACCGATCTTATCTGTACACCAGGAACGTACCTAGATATTGGCTGTCTATGTATCAAGATTTTGCCTCTGTCTGGTGGCCTTCTAATTGGCAAATTGTCAGAACTAGCATCTTCTGGCTTTCTGTATCAAGTTATAATGTTATAAAGTTACAAAATTAAAAAGAATCGTTTGAAAATATGTATTATTTAAAAAAGCGTCATTTACACGTAAAAACTCACTCAGACGTTTGCCTGCTTGACAGGGTCTTTTGAGTGAAGGCACTCCTATCTGGAGACGCGTATAGTGATCCTTCTTGTACTCTGTATATATTCATAAGATTAGTATTAATTTCGTCAAAAATTTATGTTAAAAAAAAAACGATAAAAAAGTAAAAAAAAAAGTCAATTACTGACCCGTATGATTCCTTAATTCTCTGGATCCTCGTTGTAGACTTGCATCGATATGGAAAAGTGAAATAGGATCCTTCAGGTTCTCTGTTATTAAATTTTGTTATCGATATAAATGACTCATCCCTTGACTTAAATTCGGTATCAAATAGAAATTTGTGTTCGTCCATTACTCACCCATTCAAACTACTTCCCGAAATTCTTTGGGAATTAGAACTCAAAGACCTCGGCAAAGTAGATATTGCATGTACATTTGATTCCCTATAAACATGAAACAAGAAAATCACACCTGGTTGTACCATTGTTTTATATGTTACATAGTTATCGCTTCTTCTTCTAAATTCATTTAACGGTATACTGTGTATCCTGCAAATCAATTTGATATTTTCAAATGGTTTTCATTTTCGTTGTTTTTATTTTAATTTTAGACTGTTCTACACATTGTCAAGAAACATGAAAGAACACACAAAAAATGTCAATAATATATGTTACATAACATATTTTCTATTTTTATTTTATTAGTACTTTCGAGTTATCCATACATATATATGTGTAATGAAAGATTCAGCATGCAGAAACATCTTATGAATATAAATGAATTTAATATCAAGTGAAACGTATTTACAAACTTTTACAGAATACACGTAATATATACATGTATCACCGGGGAAAATAATTGTCAAACTTTCCGGCAACAATAAAACGTAAAAATGCTAACGATGGAATAGCACTTTATTATAAACTTAGGTCGGTAGGGTGAATTCTGGAAATCCAAAAATTGCACCCGCACAATCCGAAGCCTAGGAGTTAACTGATGAACAATGATTCATGTAACATATAAATAATAAAATATAACAATGACAATTAGCACAATTCTGAGCATGAGTGACAGATGGCCTAGATGGAATAACTCATGACATGTTGAGTAAATAGATTAAATAATTAATTTCCAGATTCGGATTTACATAGTAATTAGCATAATTAAAGTTTCTCAAGTTTAAAATAATTACAGTAATTAAGAGTATATTTCAAAGTCAGCTAAAATGTCACTAAAATTGTTTTTCTCAAAAATCACACCGTGATAATTCCCTCTCGCTTCGGAAAATGAGACGTCCTCGTCTCAGGAATATCCGGAACTGAAATGCACACCACTGTGTTGTTGGTACCAGTAACTCGTGGTTGGAGTTGGTAGCGGAAGAAAAGTATGTCTTTTGGTAACACGCTTAGCTGAGTTGAATGTCCTCTTTCCGTTGTTCGATGGGTTTTGGTTGCTGTGCAATGTTGATATTCGATTATGGAGGGCGGATGTCACTGTTTGAAGATTTTCACATTTTGTTATTAGTTCACTTATCTTTGTCTTTAAAGTCTTGTTTTCATTCTGTAACGCAGTTAGTTGGGTGGTATGGCCTGTTGATTTGAATAAATTGGAAATATCTTCAGAACTTAGGTCTTGAAATGGTAAGGATTTCACTAACTGCAACCTATCGTAATAATCCTTTATTCTTCTTGAATCCCTGCGCCGTTTGCTTACGGACTTAGTCTGCTGACAAAGTATGCTCTTCCTTTGCGTCTCCGCAACAGCAACACTCATCGGACTAGATTTGGTAGCAGTCCGAGAAAAACACACACCTGCAGTAGAATCGCATGTTGTTGCTGACTTGTTGTCAGACGATCCTACAGACGGGTTTCCCAGGTTTTTCTTCAAGCAGGCCCGTCCTGATCCCTTGGCTTGATCCCTTTTGATCGTTGAGTGATCGATGGACGCCACTGGAAATGATTTCCTTTGGGAGGAACGGTAAGGTGTGGTTGCAGAAGAAAAACATACTTGCGCATAATGACCATGTTTTCCGCACACGAAACAATCGGATCGTGTAGCTGGACACGTGAAAAGGTGGCCGTGAAAGAAAGATTTCCCGCACCTATAGCACCGTGGAATGGATCCTGGTGTCGAGAAAATTCGTGCTGGTCCTGGTGCGATCCAAGGACGCGAGGGACAATGGCGCTGGATAGATGTTGGGGAGGAGCGGTAAAGTCCTTTTCTCCAGGTTGACATGGTGTTGTTGAAGATAGATCGTCTTTGGGGAACTCGCTTAGTTGATTGTACGTAGGATCAAACTGCTACAAAATATATGCAGCAGTCCCGGGTGTTATACCCTTAGGATTCTCCACCAAATTATCACCGGGGAAAATAATTGTCAAACTTTCCGGCAACAATAAAACGTAAAAATGCTAACGATGGAATAGCACTTTATTATAAAATAGGTCGGTAGGGTGAATTCTGGAAATCCAAAAATTGCACCCGCACAATCCGAAGCCTAGGAGTTAACTGATGAACAATGATTCATGTAACATATAAATAATAAAATATAACAATGACAATTAGCACAATTCTGAGCATGAGTGACAGATGGCCTAGATGGAATAACTCATGATATGTTGAGTAAATAGATTAAATAATTAATTTCCAGATTCGGATTTACATAGTAATTAGCATAATTAAAGTTTCTCAAGTTTAAAATAATTACAGTAATTAAGAGTATATTTCAAAGTCAGCTAAAATGTCACTAAAATTGTTTTTCTCAAAAATCACACCGTGATACATGTATTCACCTGATATGCGGATGTAAACCAGTGACGTTCTTCTGTAATGGTCGAAGTATGTCCATGTCAAAACCACTTCTCTCGCAAAAATATTGATGTTTTGTTTTGATTTCTTGCCTCCTTTAACGGTTACCTAAAAATATTCTAGTATATAACATTTGACCCCTTTCATAACATAATTAACGATGAAGGCCAACATACAATGTTAGCTTTTCAAACTTTTTGTCAAAATAATATAATAGCATAAACATTACTCTCTTAAGACATACTTCTAAATTCTTACAAAATAAACCACTTATTTCTTTCAATTCAGGGTTTGAAAGAAAAGTTTGCTAAAATATCCTTAAATTCACATTTTTAATGCCCCTGTAATTGAATATTCCGGGGTATATAGTTTTTGTCCTTACTGTCCGTCTATCTGTCCCTTTGCCCGCAAAATCATAAACCTTGTCTATAGCTTTTGAGTGCATACATTGTAGGGCTATGGCTTTCATATATTACAGACGGATGCATTCCTGTTGACAAGACCTTTCTTTGGTACCGCCAAATTTGACCTCGTGATCTAGACTTTGGAGTTTAACCTGCTTTTACCAAAAATTTCTGAACTAATATCGTACCCATATCTTTCGATAATGTGGTGCTAGGACTGCCATGCTTCACAAGTGTATTCAATGTAATTAACCAGACCAATAATTGGTAGAAAAAAGTTTTTTAAGAAAATATTCTTAAAATAACTTTTGAACTGCTAGTTCTAGGGCTTCCATATTTCATAAGTGTATCTGTATCAAGAACGTCCTTTGAATATCAACAATTTTGATCTTTTAACCTTGACTTTAGATTTCACCTACTTATAACCTTAATCTTAACCATTATTTTTAAACTGATAGAACTAGGGTTTCATATTTCACAGATGTACTCCTTGTGAGAAGACCTTCGTTTCGGTTACAACAGATTTGACGTTTTGACCTTGACCTTGGAATTAAACTTGTATTTGAGCAACTCCCGCATTGTTTCTGTAAATATAGCAAGGATATTTATTTTACAGTTAAACAATTGCATTGGAAATTTCAACTTACAAATGGCCCTGATCAAGACCGAGCTATGATGTTTTTCCTTATTTCGATATTATGAGATACTATTAAGTCTGTGAATGGATTAACTTGTGTGGGTCTTAAAGTAAACACAACATAAAGAGCCAACGTGTCTCTAAACTTCTAGATGAATGATCGACAAATATTTCTGAGACGGGTCTCCACCAAGACATTTATTTTTCAAATAAATCAACAAACACAGAATCCATAATTATAACCTCATATTCTTGAAAAAATTTTGGTCGGGTGAGCCTGGTCTCAATATTCCGGTAATATACTGAAATTTTACTTTTAAGTATCGGTTTTATTTCTAATAAAAACAGAACTAAAGTCACTCATAAAAATATTTAAACTTTTAAAATATAAAGCTGTGTACTGATTAATTTGTAGTTTTTATTGAACAACAGCTCTTGAAAAAAGGTCATGATTTTAAATTATTTACCTACCTAACAGGTATTCATTACTCCACAATCCCAAATGCTTTTGATAAATCGTTCTATATGTACATGTACAATGCGCGGGCATTTAAAAATGTTTTCCATGTACGTGATTGTACGGAGTATAAATTATATATGCTCAGATACAGAAATCCAACGAAATTTAAGGTAAAGATGGGTATAATCTCATCGGTTTAGAAATATGAACTTCTTCTTTACAGCCTTTTAACACTGAAAAAAGACCTAAAATGGTACTACTTAATTACGTTGACAGAATTTGATATACCTGCATCACAGAATAGCACGAGAGAATTGCCTTACTTAAATGGACTGAAGATACATATGATATGGATCAAAACAATGCATTAATAAAACATAGGTAAAATTTTCGTATTAGATTAAGTTAACTCATGTATGAAAAATGATAAACGTCGCATCAGATTTAATCTAAAGTCACGCTTGTCAGGTTTCGAAACAGCATATAAGGATTTTAAAACATTTTTTCATGATTAACTCAACTACCAAAAGTGTTGTAAGAGCTCGAGGAAGCTATGGGATTTTTTTGTTTATCAAATGGCAATATTTTTTTAACGCGTTTTCTATTTATAAGTTCTTAAAAGTAATGTAAAGATAATTTGATCTTTCCATTCTGAAAAAAAATAAAAACAAAACAAATTAATCTAATCATTCATTAAAACACAAACTCCGGGAAATGATAGATGTACTCAAATTTAATTTTAAAATAGCAGTAGGCGACGTAGTTTGAACTTTGTTGTGTTTTTCTTTGGAGCTGAAGGGTTCCAATACTTACAAGAACTGAATGCTACATTTAAATACCAACATATGTATACATGTATATGCTGGTAAACATTTATTTTGAAACACGTTTGGATAAATAATATACATATACATTGTATCTAGAATTTGTGTTTAGTAATTAATTTTCGTGTATTTTTCTTCGCATTATACGAGGATTCCATCAACTGATATCTTTTAAAAACCTCTTGTAAAGCATGCTATCTTTTTGTTTACGAGCTTCTGATAGTATTATAATCTTAAATTAAATATATCTTCAAAAATATCAGTAGATAAGCTACGTTGCGTATGTCTTTAAAATATGAACCCCTGGATTTTCCATATGTGAGATCAGATCAGGTGCCTACAAACAGAAAGCTCCCTCTGTTGATAGTGAAGTCCTCTCAATATGTTCACAGGTACAATGAATATAGTTTGAAAATGTAATAAATAAGTTTTATATACAAGGTCATTTAGAATTTTTTCCATGTATAAATGCCCCAGTGAAGTGTAAAACACTTTAAACGCCTGACGATACTATGATATGTTAACGAAACAGCGCTTACTTATCAATTTCAGGAAACACTGGACAACATATCATTCATTTGAATATAAAAAAAATGTCGTTAATACTGTAATAGTGTTAGATTTGTGTACAATAAAGTTATAGAACTTGCCAGAATATTTATCTTAACTTTTATTCAACTTGTTATTAAAAACCAAGATTCACTCCTTAGTTCTCCCTTACCTGTATTACCTGTACATATTTGTATATACCCCAGAGCATTAATCAGGTATTTTGGAAGTGGTCATTGTTATTTTGGGTTTTATTGGTCATTGATTTGAAAGGTTGGATTCGATTGGTTTTCTTGACTGGTCTAGAGTTTTCCCGCTGTGTTATGACCATTCTTTGTTCTATGGGTTGATCAGACCAGACATATATTTAGACCTTGACTTGAGACTGAAGATTTCCTTCTCTGGTAAGTTACTAATATTTTCTTATTCTAAATGTTTGTCCTAGAGTATGCAAAAGCTATTTCAATTTGCACTTACTAAAGTGAATGAATTATTTTGAGAGAAAGTTATTTTATGATGCATATTTATTATTAATTACATGATCAATATGAATTATTTGCTAGAAGTAATTTAATTGAAGTTAATCAAATTACGTGTTTTTATGATGATCAAATATATTTTTAATTATATTGTTCAAAGTGAGCAATTGGTATATTTTTAAGAAATTATATTTTTAGATATCATTGTATTAAATTACAGGTCACCATTAATACTGATAAACATTTTTGATTCATACAATTTATTGGGAAAGCCTATTCCCAAAGAATAGCGAGATTAATATGTTTTTATCTTCGATAATTATATTTTATTAATACAAATATGTTTTATTTATTTGCGTAAAACATAAGAAAAGATATGAGATACATTTTATCATATTTAAGACTATTTCAAAATATGGTAAAATATGGTGATTCTTGAAAGTTCGATTTCACTAGAAAATATCATCTACCCCCCTTTTTTCAAGAGCTGGAATGAATGATAATTTACTACCTAGCGCTGGAATTAAAATGATTAATCAATTACCATAGAACTGTTCTTTGTATTAAACAAAGATTTAATGACCCAACTGCCAATAAAATTGAATTTAATGTGTGCAAAATGTAGGCGGGAATCAAGAGTTAGAGTTCGTAGTTCTTATAGAGGATGATAATCTAAGTATTATCTTCATGTAAAGTAATGAACATTATGTGTGTGATATTTACATTCTATTTATTGTTGTTTTATGATATTTACAGGGCTGTGTTAAAATTGATGTATATGCCATAAATCACTCCACTGTGAATAAATATTTATAAAGAACCCTGACAGGAGTTGTCGATTATTTCCATACCCCTGTTACAATACAAAATTGCAGTTTCTTGCTTTGTCTTGTTCAGGATATATGGAGGAGGGAGGGAGGAAAGAGGTATACTGCATGTTGTAAAAATGAATTGTAAGGAAAAAATTCCATTCTTTAAGAATGATAAAACTATACAATCCTTTGTTATATACAGTATAACTAATTAACTATTTAAACAATTCCTGAACTGGTTTTTAGGTCACATGAGTAAACCAGATGATATTGCTATCTGTTTTCGTTCGTCGTCGTACACGTTAGCTTTTGCAATTTTCAGCTTCAACTCTGCAACTGATCAACCACTTTCAACCAATGTTGGCATACAACAACTATCGGTAAAGAGGAATTGAAATTTACAATTTCATGGTCCCTGTGCCCCTGGGCTCTGTGTCTTGCAGCAAAAGCCACTAAAAGTAACACAATATTTGAAATCCTTCTTCTTTACCCCTGGACATTAAGCAATTAAACTGGTGGTATGATTGTAATAATCATCGAGTCCTCTACAAAAATTATGAAATTCATGGACCCAGGGTCAGGGATTATAGTGCTGGTAGGACTAAATAGGTTATACGAGGGTTGTCCCGTAAAATCGTGGACAAGTTGTCTAGTTTGAAAAATAATCATCACTGCGTTCTGAAATTTTCACCACTTTTTAGCAGATAAATTATGAATATACATAGCAAATTTCAAATAGATATATGCATAGGTAAACAAATCGTGATATTTTATGTTATGTACTGTATCGCCCTACGGCGCACGGATGATAACGTCAAAGTGTCTAAAACAGCGTCACATTTCATCTTTGCTAAACTTAAAGTTGGATAAGCCCAACTTAAATTTAGAAATTTTATTGATTTACATATGTGAGTATCTATAACCAGTTAAGAAACCAAT